AAGTTAAACAATGTTGACTTTACTGAACTTTATAAATTAAATTGAAATTGATAGTTTCCTTTCTTGAATTTCAAGAATTTCCCACATTTTACAATTTTATAGTATCTTTAAAATCAAGCAAAAAGAAAAAGTCTGCTTGTAGAAACTTGAAATTTATTTGATATTGATGTTTAGTATAATGTAAATAAATTGCAAAAAACTAGCAAATGTAAAAATGTAAAACAATGCGGAGGAAAAATTTACGAAAATCGTTAACTAAAGAATATTATATTAGTTAATTATAAAGAGGTTTTTCGAACAATAGTGAACTACAACAACAAAAATTCATTTATATTATTGCAATTAATTCAAATTTTGGCTGACCATATAGCTGTTTCAAATATTGCGAAAAACCCATCATCAGTGAACTTGTAAATAATTCTTGTATTTAATTAGTCGTAAATAATTTTTTGAGACTGTAAGTACCCGAAATCGTACTCGTGCCCTACCGAATTTGAAGCTCAGAGTCAGTGCTCCTTAACCAATTGACCTAAAACCGTACTTGACTTTTTATGTTCGCACATTTTTCTGGAGTTTTCTTAATTTATTGTGAACGTTTTATTAACAAATTCACTTGTTGTGTTTATATTAGAATTTATAATTGGTAATTATAAAATAATATATTTATTTAAAAATTAGCATATATGAGAATTATGTTATGAAAATCTCAACACAAGTATTAAACTACGCAACCCAACTATATTAGGTATATATCATTGCTTTAAATTTTCGTTAGATATTATTGAGCATGTTTATATTTAGTTTCTTGATATAGACTTTATCAGATGATTCGTTTTAGTAACAGTATTCTTTTCTCCAATTAAGACTACTACCACCATTAAAAAGACTCGTAATAAAATCTATGTTTTCACATAATTTTATTTACATGAAATTATGTTGTATTCAGATTATATTATTACCTTACAAAAGGTAACCAACAGATTGAAAAACTGTTACTATATTTATTTATTTACTGTTAATTTATAAAAATATGAATTTAAATAAATGCTTCTCATGCTACAGTTGAGGCTATATGATTATGAAAAATTAACCCATATTAGTTTCATCAAAATCTGTTTGCTATATTTTAAACTAAATTGACTTCTTGCTTTAGGACAGCATTAAAAAAAATTGCAAAAATTGTAATTTTTTCTAATTAATAGTATTTTTTGGCTTACTCAAATACTCATGCGTATATTATTTTATGGACTGCAAGAAGTACTAGGCTTTAAACTTAGATGTGTTTGCACTAAGGCTTCGTTATTCAAATTTTAAGTTGTTTTTGTTAGTTTACTTTTTATTATATTTAACATATTTCTATAACAATGGTATATATTCAAAGACTATGTTATATATAAATAATAACAAATCAAAAAACAATTTACTTTACATCTTTTAATCTCTAAGTTATGGTTACGTTTATTTTCCCAATAAAATGACATTAAGTTCTATCATTATATATCTACTAAAATTTAATATTAAAATTTCATTTATATTGATTATGTTTCGTTACAATATAAATAATTTCCTTGTAGCTTTGAACATAATATTATTATTTTTACTCTTAAGTTTGAAATTTATATCCTTGAGTATGAATATTAATTTGTATATATTATTTTGCCCTTAACCAACCTGTGTGCACATATTAAATATACTATAACTTTAATTCTTATACATTATTCTTTGGCTTTATGCTTACATAGAGTTTTGCTATCATTTTCGCATAAATTACATTTTAATGTAGATTTTCTATTTGGTTTTATTTGCATAAATTACACCAGTACTTCGAGCAACACACACGGATATTCTAGCTTTCCTAGGAATTGCAACAATATTTATAATTTTGCATTTTTATTTTTTATTGCATACTCTTAGGAGTAATATTGCACTGTTGACTTGAAACTCATAAGCTAGCGCGCTCTGCACATAACCTAAAAATTATAATAAATTTTTGGAAAATATGATTAATATGATACTTTTTAGTTTGTTTATTTTAAGTTAAATATATTATATAAAATTCTTAAATATAATAAACTTAAATATTACGTTCCCTAAAAGGAGACATGAATGAAACATGCAAAATAAATTCATTTTACTTTTCTGCATTTTCAGAAAATTATTTTAGTTCCTTCTTTTGTTTGAGTTTTTCTTTTAATAATTTAATAAAAATGCAATTAAAAATGCTAACAAACTTTGTTTAAAGACAAAATTGAATTACTACTACTGATTAAAGTAAGTTAAAAATTTATAAATTCCAAAGCATTTCAGACTTTTTGCTTCAGTTTTTATGCTGGTTTTCTGTTCCTCAATTCTTTTTTATGTTGTTTTGTGTTGTTTTTTTTTTGTGTATACTTATTTCATTAGATTTTACTCTTGTTCATTTTTCTGCTCCGTACTTTAACAGTTCTACAGCTTCCGCATTAGTTTTGAAGCAACTTCAACCGCAACATATTTTTTAAACTGAAATACTAACGTCTACACAGGAAATTGATTTATTTCCTTGTTGTTTTCTCTTTTCCGGTGCTGTTTTTGCTATTTTTAAAAGATTTCACTTCTTCATTTAAAATGCCCCTTCATCTCAATCTAAACCAAGATGAGCCATGAGCCCTTGATTTTAATACTTCTTACACCACTCTTACTCACCGGCTTTGCCACTTTCACATTTCAACGATAAGAAAGTTTTTTATTTAATGTACTCCGGTGTGTATTACGAGCGAGACTAAAAAGCATTGAAATTGATATGCTGCATGTTATATCTTACCCCCTTGAGACTTTTAATATAGTTTTCCCATGCAATATCAATAATACTAAATATTTTACTATTCCTAGAAGCGATTAATTTACAATACTTTTAAATAAATGCTTACATTTTATCAACTGAAAACAAAATTTCTCAAATGTTTTATCACTTTTAATAAATTAAACTTTTGATTAATACAAATTAAAACAAAATATAAAGTAAAGTTAAGTTTATAACAATCAAAGCACTAAAATGATTAACACTCTTTTTTAATCGCCTTTTAAAATCAGCGTAGGCTTAATCATTCTGCAAACAGCTTTTACTGTCATATTAAATACAGGGTTGTTGCTTAATGCAATTATAAATGAGTTAAGTATTTTAAGCGTAAAATAAAACTTTAAAAAAGGAGGACTATTATATATATTTTAGTAAGCATTCCAGTGAGGCAACTTTACAATCTTTAAAGTCAATTCTACAATGTAATCTTCATTTTTGACTAAAATAACATTTATTTAAATTTTAAGTGTGCCTAATTGTCTAAGGCCTGATCTCAAACTCATAAGGTTTATTAACTTTGGCATGTAATGTAAAACATCTTGTTTGTTTTTATATATATGGATCTTGTTTTTATATATATCTACACCAACAATTTCATGACTTTCGACATATTTAACAAGTACTTTTAACAGGTTAAAATTGTAGTAGAAAATTTATTTTCCATATAATACTTAATTATTAAACTGGACTGGACTTCTTGGAAAAATCAAATATTTTTATTTTTAAGAAAACAAAAATAAAACAATTACATTATTAGTTATAAGTGTAAATATATTATTCTATTTCGAATAGTCTTAAATTTAGTTAACTACACTACATAAATTATTCAATTCAAATTCCGAAAAATTGCACAAAATAGGCTTTTCTAGGACTTTAACAAATTCATGAAAACCTGATAGTTTTTACCAAATTGAAATAAATAATTATATATTATAAATAAATAATAATTTTATATTATAAATATTTATTTTAATAATTATTTGAAAATAGAATAGTATTGTAATTTAACAATTAAAAACAAAAATGTTATTAATTAATTCAATTATTCTACAGCTGATTTATCGATCTAATATAAACATAACAAGTTAAGTTGTTAATAAAATTTGCATAGCAAAGTAACAAAACTCCAGAAAAAAACATAAAAGCTAAATACGACCTTGGGTCAGTTGATTAAGGAGCATTGACTCTGAGCTACACATTTGACAGGGCATAAGTTCGATTCCTGGTACTTGCAATCTCAAAAAACTATTTCCGAATAATTAATACTCGAAACAGCTGTATGATCAGTCAAAAATTCAATTAATTAAAATACCATAATATAAAAAAGAATTTTTGTTGTTGTAGTTCACTACTTTTCGAAAACCTCCTTATACTTATTTTAGTTGTTCTTACGATATTCTTTTATGATAAATTTATTTTCATTTTCTTCACTTCCTTAGCACTGGTTGCTTCCATGTTAGTTATTATATATCAATAACAAAAGCTTCAAAGGTATAAAAATCAAGAAAAAATATTAATCTTTAAATCATTAAATTTTTAGATTGAGAAGAGAAAAAAAATAAAGAATTCTCTCAATTGATTATAATTAATAATACTTATTACTTTTAATGTACCGGAAGTAGTAAATATTTTTGTTTTAAATATATATTATTATATTATTATATTTATATTATATATATTATATTTATATTATATATATTATAATATTGTATATTATATATATATATCTATTTATATTATATAGTATATATTTTAGAAATTAAGAGAATTATGAATTTATTGAATGGTAATTAAATCATCTTTACACTCGATTTAAACACTTTATATATATGGATAAATACTTAAAGATAAATCTTAAGTATTTAAACTATTACAAAATTTTAATAAACAAATGGTATTACTTTAATTATGCATTTGCATTGCTTTATAAAATATGTATTTTATACCGATAACTATTTATTTATTGTACATAAAATTGCATGTTAACAACAACCAATTTATGAAAACTAACAATACTTGTCGAAATAATTAATTTGAATAATATTTAATATAAACTGCATATTGTATGAGTATTGACCCTTCATTATCCTTTGAAATATTAAAAAAAAAAAGTTGTTCATTTTAAAATTTTTATTGTATTTGCATGTTTGGTTGCGAATGGCAGGGATTTGGGTTTGTAACATTCGCTAACAGCAACGATGCAGAACGAGCACGCGAACGTCTACATGGCACTGTGGTTGAGGGACGCAAAATAGAGGTGGGTGCATGAAACTAATTAATTAAAAATAAATTAACTACTATATTAAAAATATATATATTTTACGTAAATCTAAACTTTAAAAATTTGCTTACTTTGATAAACTTTTATGACTCGTATAGATACTTAATATTTTTCTGTGTATGAAACTAAAGAGTAACTTTGGCGCTTGAAATTGATAAAGTTTAATTATTTTCAGTATTAATTTTGTTGTGTCTTTATGAATTTTTAATATATATAAATTAATTATGTGCAATTTATCATTAAGTAAAATTCATCATATTAAGTATGTTCAGCATTTATTGAATTGGAGCCAAATATGTATGTTTTTTTGCTGTGTAGGTCATCATCATGTGTGCAGTAAATTAATTATTGTGAAAAATTCAATTTTTTGTATGTGTATTCGTATTTTTCATTTAATTAATTTGTTGTTTAATCTGATAGTAACCAAAAATATATATTTTAAAACTGTAAACATGTGCATATGCTTGTTGCATATCATATCTCATTGAGAAATGCATTTTACATTTGTTCATTAAGTAAGTCTATAGTATATTGAACTTCTTTAGATTGATAAAATGTAATTATTTCAACTAATATTATAAGGCATGTTTGACTAAGAACAATAAGTTTGAAATGAAAATAGTTGTTTTTGTATTTTAAAAGGCTATAATTGCAAATAATAAATAATTTATGCATAGAGGAATGATATTATTAAACCATCTTTGGTGTCATTGCGGTATGACAGTGTTTTATTTGTCATATTTAAACGGATCATGTATGTATCCAAACAAGCCTTGGTGCTCAAGACTACTACTTCAACTTAACCCAAGCTAGTGCTAATGCTGATTAAAAAATTAGAATTTCAATTTATGTTTAACATTAGCATCAATATAACTCCAAAGTGAGAAATGATTTCTTCGTCTATAAAACGAAATTAATCGTATTGGTGTACTATGTTTTTTCTATATTAACCAAAATGATGAAATGTTCAAACAAATGTATCGACAAGTAAAAGCAACTCCAAAATATGATGTCTAATTTGCTTTTTCTTTAAATGAATTGGGAAATTATTGTAGTTTAAAGTTAATATTTAAAAAAAATTCTGTGCCCTGCTCTCCCAAAACCTCATTAACTTAACAATTTTTTGTTCGCTTCCAAGATGTCAGTGTCATATTACATTTTTTTTTTCTCGAAACATTTTTAGTACAGCAGTTTTATATTTATCATGTACCGTTTTCGCGCTATAATTATTAATTGGAGTTACCTACTGTATTTTTATCACAAAAACAGCAAAAGCTTATTTATTACTCATACACTCTCGGTTTCTCTATAATTGACCTATGAAGTGAAGTACTTACACTTGTTTTATACGAATTTAAAAAACTTTGAGTTTAGTTTGGCTTTAAGTTATTATTTAGTCATTTAATACTTTTACAAGGTTCCACATAAACTATGTCCAGTGACATATCCGCATGTATTTATATGTAATGTTTTCAAGTAATAATTTACTTATAGAAAATATTCGTTTTGTGAAGATGTTAGAACGTGATCTTAATATGCTTACATACTTACACAAGAATACACGTATTTACTTCTTATAGAAATATATACTTCATTGATATTTTTTACTGAGGAACACTGGCACATAAACCTTTGTCGTCCGGACCAAATTTAATCGAAATTTCTCTTTTGATTTTATTCTCAATTTCTTCATTTATCTTAAAAACAAGGACTGCCATATAACATGATCTTTAGAGTGTTCATCTTTTCAATTGTTTGAATACAATTATATTGAAGTATTGAGTATGTACTAAAACTTTACTTTGCAAATTTGTTCGGAATAACAAATTTACTAATTCCATAGATTCTTACTTCCATCTACGTATAGTAAATTCATAGGGTGTTTCAACTATCAGTCACAATACATTTTTCATATATCTTACAAATAATACAAATTTAGATAGGTAATATATTGAATAAATAAAAAAATGTTAGTCTGTGGTATATACACATACCATAGAATGTTTTCTAAAGCTTGTATATAGTATACTCTTTCATAACTTCAAAACATACCAACAAAATTTTTCAATTATATATTGATAAAAAAAATATTACAATCAATACAACAGTCTGTTAACCAAACTATCTTGAGATTTTTCTCTTGATGACAGCTCTTATAATGCGAGCAGAAGTGTCATGCACTAAGTCTAACACCCTTCACCATTGTAACGCTGCAATAGCAACAATTCTGTCTTCAAATGGTGAAATTAAAAATTCCTCACGCATACAAAATTTAAATTTGCTTATAAACTAAAAAATTAAAAAAAAAAAAAAAAAATCGAAACGCAACCCAACAGCATCCGGCATCCGGAAAAGAAAGAAAGAAACTACTGCGGTATTATCCAAACCACATAAGGACGGGGTATAACACCCTTGAGTTATATCCACAGAGTATCGCAATAAATGCAATATGGCAGCACAGTGACTGTCGTCTTACGAATACTTTCGTTTACAATTTTTCAATAAGTTTAATAAAAATGCAACGAATGCGGAGATGACAAAAACAAAAAAATATGGAAAAATATAAGGAAACATTGGTTCATATGGTAAACAAATTGTGCTGCTTCTTCTACTTATTTGCATTACAAATATTATCACTTCCTTCTACCGCCCGGTCTTCTTTCTTTTCACTTGCAAATTGAAATTCTGTTGTGATTTTTACTGCAGAATTTCTTTGCAAATTTTCTTCAAGTTGACAACTTATCCTTAGAGAGACTGAAAAGTGGTTTAGCGGTTTTCATATTCAAAACACGTTTATAAGATTTTTTTATAATTCACATTGTAATTTCATAATTTAAGTTCAAAAAAAAATTGAAATGAGATGGATAAAGAAAAAAAAATCAGTAATTGAGTTAAACTTCTTGTTTTCCATAAGCTCTACATTTGGGCGTCTGTCTCTTAAGTACACTTCAATTTTTCTTTTAGATATTTCTTGGTGGCAGTATTCTTTTAGACAAAAAGTTTCTTTTATATCTTGATAAAAGTTACATTTCCAATCTTATATTAAACTTATTTAATAAAATTACTAATTTTGAACATTTAATTAAATACATAAAAGAACCTCTTTATGAAATATACTAAGTTTCTATTAAATTTAATAGTCGCTTTAGACTGAAAAATATTACTACTTATATTCACAAAATATTGGTCTCGCCCGTGCCACTCGTGGAGTAACATTAGCATGACTTTCTCAGTATTACGTTCTTAGATTAGGTTCTATACATAAGAAAGAATATATAAATCATGCAACAAATAATGCCTCTACAAACGCAATAGTGTTGAAACTTAACAATTAAAAATAAAAAATATAATTAATTAATTCAATTATTCTACAGCTGGTTTATGATTTCGTTCTAATATAAACACACCAAGTGAATTTTTTAATAAAACTTTCACAGCAAAATTAACAAAACTTCAGAAAAATGTGCGAACATAAAAAGTCGAGTACGGCTTTGTGTTAATTGATTAAGGAGCACTGACTCTGAGCTTGAAATTTGACAGGGCAAGAGTTCGATTTCTTGTACAAGCAGTCTCAAAAATTTATTTACGAATAATTAAATACAAGAATTATATCCAAGACCATTGTAGATAAGTATTTGGCAATACTCAAAACAGATGTATGGTCAGCCAAAAATTAAATTAATTAATATAATAAAAAATGAATTTTTATTGTTCGAGAAAACTTCTTTATACATAATTTATTTAATTTTTTATCCCCTCTAAAATAATTAATGATGAAAAATCATTACTTTATAATATATTTTGCAGTGTTATTTCCCACAAATTCAATCACTAGCAAAGAGTGTTTAGTTTCATTATATAATAAATAAATTAAATCTATTTTAAATAGATAAATATTTAAGCATAATTGCAATTGTTTTAAAACCTTTTAATTAATTTATAGAATAACGAATGAAAAATTTAATTTGTGATATGTACATAACACAAAATCCAATCCTATCAAATTCAATATAAATATTTTAGCTTCATAATTAACTTGAATAAATTAAATTTAAACCAATCAAATTTTAATAAACACATATATTCTATTATGTGCATCTGTAATAAATTTTAACTTGATTACGTACTCGTTCAGTTGTCAATATTTTAATTAAATATAATTTTTAGAACTACTACTAAATTCTACTAAAATATATTTATACAGCCATTTTCAACATTAAAATGCTAATCAATATTTGCTTATGTTGTTTTAATATGATAAAATATATCATTGAAGATATCCATCGAATTAGCAATAAAAATTGGATTTTAATTTAAAATAATTGTAATAAACAATTTTGGTATTAAAATTTAAAACTTCAACCTATTAAAAACAAATAATTAATTTTCAATTTAAGGAATATTAAAAATAACAAATGTTCATAAATATCACAATATTGATTTAAAAGCGAATAAAATACTACTGATTAAATTTAGGCATCATTCAACTAAAATGTAGTATTAGAAATAAATTAAACATTAATTTTGTTTTTAATTGTATTTGAAAATGAATTGCAAACATAAAAAATTGTTTATTATTCCATAAAACTAATTTGGAACAATCAGAGTTGGCATTAACAACATTCTACTTTGCACATACCGTAGACATGAACCAAGTAGATACAAAGCACATTTTTCATCTTCTGAATAGTTCCACAGAGTCATTGAGGATAATTTTCAATCTCTTAGTATGATTAAACTTAAATTGACAACTTCGCATACCCAATGTTAAGACTGATATCTTAATAAAATCATATCTTTGAGTATTTCCATTTTATTTTCAAGCAATAAGTGAGAAAATATATTTTGGATAAATTAAAATAAACGAAATACTGGCCTCCAAAAAACGATGAATGCCCTTTGTAGTGCTAATTATATATAAATTAAAACCCGCGGCCTCTCGAATCTAGCCCCTGCACTTGGTTTCATTAACGGCA